TCTCTATACTCCTCTGACATTCCCAAAATAGTTGAAGATGCCCTTGGGAACAAAAAGTGGAGGCAAGCTATGGAGGATGAGTATGTAGCTCTACAGAAAAACCACACATGGGAGAAATGCATTCTTCCCAAAGGGAAAAAAAGGGTGGGTTGTAGATGGGTATTCTCCATCAAATACCGAGCAGATGGAACCATTGAAAGATACAAGGCTCGTTTAGTGGCAAAGGGATATACCCAGACATATGGAATTGACTACTCCGAGACTTTTTCCCCTGTTGCCAAGATTGATACAATACGAGTCTTGTTCTCAATATCAGCAAACAAGGAGTGGCCTCTATATCAGTTTGATGTTAAAAATGCTTTCCTTCACGGTAGTATTGAGGAAGAAGTGTATATGGAGGCACCTCCAGGGTATTCTCACGAATTCAGAGATGGAGAAGGGTGCAGACTGAGGAAGGCTCTTTATGGTCTAAAACAGTCTCCTAGGGCATGGTTCGGAAGGTTCACAAAAGCTATGAAGAAGTTTGGGTATAACCAGAGCAATTCTGATCACACATTGTTCTTGAAAAGGAACAAAGATAGAATTACCTGCCTGCTGATTTATGTAGATGATATGATTATCACTGGAAATGATGAAGAAGAAATCACTGATTTAAAGGGAAAATTGTTTCAAGAATTTGAGATGAAAGACTTAGGGACTCTCAAGTACTTCCTGGGCATAGAGGTTCTAAGGTCGAAACAAGGAATCTTCATTCACCAGAGAAAGTATATCCTTGATCTCCTGACAGAAACTGGAATGCTAGACTGTAAACCAGCCGAGACACCGATTGCAACTAATCATGGTCTTCAAATTCTTGAAGGGGCAAAATTGGCGGAAAGAGAGCAATATCAGAAGATTGTGGGAAAACTCATATACTTAGCTCACACAAGACCAGACATAGCCTATGCTGTAGGAGTAGTGAGTAGGTTTTCGCATCTTCCACAAGTACAACACATGACAACAGTTATGAGGATTTTGAGATATTTGAAGGGAACAAGCTGTACAGGAATCTATTTCGCCAAAAATGGTCATCTTGATCTAATTGCATATACAGATGCCGACTGGGCAGGAGATCGTGATGACAGAAAGTCTACCTCTGGGTACTTTACTCTAGTGGGAGGTAATCTGGTTACTTGGAGAAGCAAGAAGCAGAAGGTGGTAGCTCTATCAAGCGCAGAGGCAGAATTCAGAGGAATTGCGAAGGGGATTACCGAAATCTTATGGATTCGGAAACTCATGATGGAATTAGGATTTCCACAGAAAACTGCATGTAAATTATTCTGTGACAATAAAGCTGCTATAATTATAAGTATCTCAGAAAACCCAATTCAGCATGACAGAACGAAGCATGTTGAGATTGATTGACATTTCATCAAAGATAAATTAGAAGAAAAGGCGATCAAGCTTCCATTTGTCAGGTCAAAAGATCAACTAGCAGATATTCTGACTAAAGCTGTTAGTACTGAAGCTTTCAATGAGATACTGAGCAAGTTAGGCATTGGTGTACCTACTGCCCAACTTGAGGGGGAGTGTAGAAAATAATATAATTGTATATATTGTACCAATTAGAAAATTTTTGATAGGCTGTAAAATAGGCAATAATTTAGGATAATTATGGATATTGTTCCATAAGACTTTGTATAAATGTACTCTTCCATCTTTTTGATTAATATAAGAAAAACAGAAAACCTTAAACCAAATTATTGCTTCCGCAAAATCTGACAAAAGTTATAATACGTAGTATAAAAAGTTGATATTATGAAAATTTACATTAATATGATTTTTACAATGTCACACATGTATAATTATATTTTAGATCATTATATATCACAATTTTTTTTTTAAAAAAGTAGAGTATTATTAATAGTGTCAAAAATTAATATATGTCAAATAAAAAGAGACAAATATACTCCGTACCAATTTTAATAGTACATCAATATGTACTATTTAAAAAAATTTCTACGATCACATTAATGCATCCACATGTATGTACACATATCTGTTCTGAATGGATGACTCACATGGACAATAGCTTGTCATATACGCTATGAAACCTTTGCGCGCGGCCCGTCGCTTTCTCTGAGTATTCAAAGATGATAAACGTGCGTGATAGATGGCATACTAGCTTGTACTCAATCGATATTTCTTATTGACTACTACTTGTATTGCGCTGTCTAGATTAGGCAAAAGCTAATACTTCCTATGTATTTTTTTATTCCCAAATTTTTATATGTGGCTGGTCATATCGTGTAGCTAATCATTATAGGATTACTTTATTAGTGCTATATGGATTACTCACTCAATTAGGGGTTACTTGATCGGTTAGGGGTTACTCGGTCGGTCATGGGTTACTCAATCAGTAAAGGGTTATTAAGTTGGCCAGGGGTTACTCACTTAGTCAAGGGTTACTAAGTCGGTCATGGGTTACTCAGTTAGGGGTTACTTGGTCGGTCAGGGGTTATTCGGCCGGTCAGGAGTTACTCAGTCAGGGGTTACTCGTCAGTTAGGGGTTACTTGATGTGTGTCAGCTGGCCACACGGTGTGGCCAGCCGCACACAAAAGTTGCTGTTTTTTTAAATTAGATGCATGACTTTCTATTTTAGTCAATAAATTCTCCCTTTCTCTTTCATATCACATGACCCCTTTTAATTTATCTCTTTATCTCTCTCTACTCTAAAAATTGTCTTAGAATCCGTATTTTAAAATTAATGTATTTAATAATAAACGGAGAAAATATTAGCTAGAATGATGAAAAAAGTAGGAATGCCTATTTTTTTTTTGTTTAAAGGGGGGAAGATTCATTAATTATGTGTCAAAGTGACATTATGTTCATACATACCCCAGCACATCAGTAGTAGCAGCAGTTACTAGGACAGAAGTGGGAAGGGCTTTGCTTTGTCTCATTTTCATTCGATAATGGAAAGGCTGGGTGACATGATTTGAACACGAAAAAATGGAATAGTGCTCAGAGTTTACGTATGACACATTTAATTAAACGAAACATGTTATGATAAGATTAATTAAATAGGTCAAGTTAGTATGAGATTTTTAACATGAAATTAACGCTACTCAACCTATTTAAGAAAAAAAACAATATTCTATAAATTTAATGATGAACATGTTGAACGAGGTTTACACTTTTTCATATAATATGACACAAATCGGATACGGAAAAAATATGTAAGTGTCTAGAATTTACTTGTATGATTTTTCATAGAAACAAAATCATTGACTTGTATAATAGATTCCATGTTAAACTTATTGGAGATCTGTTTTTCTATGTATAAAATGGTATAAAATCCACTTGTAGCCACTCACTTTAAAAAACTATGAGTTTTTAATTTTATAATTATACCTGTTATATCATTAAAAAATAAAAATAAAAATAAACGATGATCTATAGACAAATTATTACTAAACAATTAGACAATATATGTAGAATAAAGGCGATAATGTATAAAAAATTACAAGATTGCATTCAATATGTGTAGAAGATTGAAGAAATGAAACAAAATCTACTTATAGAAGAGTTGAAGAAGTTAATTAGTAGTGAATTTGGGCAAAAAAAAGATGAAAAGAATAAGATGAATTGAAAGATCTAACATTGTTGGAGTTATGTTTTATGAGGAAGCTTATGAAATTTAAAATTAAGGAGTCAAAGAGTCACATGTGAGTAATTTTCTAATGTTTCCCAATAAAATAAAAATAAAAACAAAACTCTATACTACGTAGAATTGAACCTTAATCCTTAAACCCCGTGTAATAACTCTATGCCCACTTACCAGTTACCACTAAGCCTTTAAAAATTCAACAATAATTAAATGAGTATACAAGTATCCTTACCTTTTCAAAAATATGAGAAAACACTTATGAATAGTGTGAGGATAATTATATCCTTAAAAATGTTTGTTTACCTATATGCCTCTATTAATATGATGTTAATTGCATCTAAATTTTTTCTTGTGTGATTTATTGATTTAACACTTATGAATGGTGTTTGAACAATTATACCCTCTAAAATGTTTATTTACTTATTTGTCCTTTTAAAAAAATAAAACTTTTAAGATCAGTATACGGACATTAATAATTTTTAAAAAATTGTTTACATATTTTTTCGTTGCCAACAACTCAAAGGAGTCTCCAAAAATGGCTAGATATGGTGTGTGCATCGCGCGCGTTAGCCACCTTACTATATTTTAAAAATCTATGGGGGCCAAACAACAAAATTATGGGCCACGCTTGTAGCTACGCTCCTGCACAATATCTCACATGACTTAAATACACTCCCTCATTTTCTATTGTTCTTCTCACTTAAAATCTTTTTTGAGACAAAATTGGTCAAAGTGAGAAGAAAATATGAAACTAAGGGAAAATTTTATAGATTTGTAAGAACTTGTGTCAAAGTTAGTTTCATAAGTTCGACACCAAAAAAATACAATAGGACAAAAATAATAGGAACGTAGGAAGTACATAGAAAAAGCAGCTATTGCGAGACTTGAAATGCCAACAGAATTGTTTTCTTTTACCGACCAGAAATGATTTATTTAAAACCCAATTTTTGTGTGAAGTTTAATAATTGTGATGGTATGCATATTATAAGGATTTTCGTGAAAACTAATACAATATAAGACCGTCTTATGATCATAATAGCACCCTATAGATAAATTGAACCAAAGGAAGAAAAAAATTGGGACAAGATCACACATGTGCAATAACCTATAAAAGCAATACCGAATTATTATTATTATAGCCATTGTAACTATAATGGGATCTTATTTACGAGCGCCCCGATGCGTTAGATAACAACAGTGTTAATTTTAGAATGCATGTCAAAATTACGCGATGATTAGTGTAATTAATATTTATTAATAATGACACAATTACACAACGCATACTTCCGAGGCAACTACTCCATAGAAGCTTAGTTTATTTATTTAGAAATTAAAACAATGTTATACGTACTACATAATTGACTTTCCAAGATTATTCTCACCAGGATCGCTGGCTTTCTTAAACTGAACAATAAGTGGTTTTTCATTTGTGACACCCAACAACCCATTCTCCTTAATAATACCTAAATCACCACAATTTTTTTCAACTCCACCTTCTAACGATGTACATAAAGTCCTTATCTTATAAGTATTCTTCTTTTTCCCAGCCACCTCAATGGCGAATGAATAATTGAAATCATCACCATCGGTAGTCACATACGATTGTCCACCGGTGGTCACTTGCCACCCCAGCCCCTCGCAAGTCGTAACGTCGGTTACGAAGGTAATACTAACACGAGTCGATTCTAGAATATCGATTATTCTAAGAGGGGAAGATATCCTCACTGGTACGCCGAGGGAGTTAGCTTGACGAGTTATATAGAGTGGGCATGGTGAGCTCCCTACTCTTTTTGTTTGGCTGAGACCTCCACTACCGTCGTATGGGACGACGTAGTAGGATCCGCCACTGTTACGTACCGTCTCACCGTTGGTGTCTAGGACAACGGCGGTGAGTGTGGGAAGAGGGGAGAGACATACAAGAATAGTGATTGCAAATGGGATGAGAGGATTCATTTTTTTTTTTCTACTCCTTTTTGTGGTGTTTGGAGGATTGATGGTGAGTAAGAAGGAAAAGGATATGGTTTTTATAGAACGTATTGTCTAATTTTGTAAATGGGTACTAGTTTCATTAATTAATTCTAATCGTCCTTGGTTTTGACTATTTCGAGTATATTAAGTGTCAACTTTTGAATATATTTTAGTGTTTTGACTTATTAAATAAAAAAATTATGTAGTTACGTGCCTAACAGAGTAACAGGGCCTTTATATAAGCTTTAGTTTAACTTGTTGATATACACTCTGACTTGGTTAGTAAACCATGCACTCAACCTTTAATTTATTAGTTTATTTCATCCCAAAAATTTCTTTATATTATTATCCCTTCAATTGTCATTGTTTGATGAATTTTCATTTCCAACGTGAAATAGAAAAAGACGATGGAAGTATTTTTAAACGAATGTACCAATTTTAATACAGTAATAGTTACTGTTATTAAATATTTCTAGGATCGCATTATGTATGTAATACACACATCTGTTTTGAATAGATGACTCACATGGACAATGACATGCTATAGCTTGTTGTCATATAGGCTACTAAACCTTTGCGATGGCTTTCTCTGAGTGTTATTCAAAGATAGTAAACGTGGATGACAGGTGGCATACTTGCTTGTACTCTTTCTAAATTTCATATTCACTAATCGTATTATTACTAGCTCCTTCTAAAGCGGACAAAAACTAACACAATACGATATGAATCAAGCCAAAAAAATCAAAATAATGTTAGGGGCTTATATATGACACATTTTATTAAACAAAATACAACATGATAAGATTAATTGAATTCATGGGGTTGAGATTTCCAACACAACATTAACACTACTTAATAGTGGGGCCCTATTGACTAGACTTTAACGTCCCTCAATCAAAGGGAGACGCGTAGTTGCCAATTCATATTTTGTCGACTAATCTGCCTAAGAGAAAAACCAATATTTTGTAGATTTAATGATAAATATATTAAACGAGGCTTACACCTTTTCATATAGCACGATACGAACCGGACATGGAAGATACATATTAGTGTTTAGGTTTCTGACACATTTAATTAAATAGATTATTAGCACAACACATGTTTATCAAATGAATTGGGTTAGGATTGAGATTTTCCAACTCGTTAACTTCAAACACAAACACAACATGACTTGACACATTTGCCACCTCTAACTTTATCCTTATTTGTTTGCCTTATTTGAAATTTTTAGTATTCAAAATACGTTTTTGTCCAATTATTGGTCATTGGTCGTTAGTCTTATTAACGACGAAAGACATTTCATTGTTAAGTCGATCTAATAGGTTCCCTTGTTATTGGCCTCTCGTGATCGAGTTGGGTTTAAAAGGGGGAATAACAACTTCAAAATATATGACTGAACTACAACGTAGTGGAGAACAATTTTTTATTTTTTATTTTAATAGAGAACAACTTCAAACCGAGTTAACCACTGTAAAAATAAATAAATAGAAGGAAGCTTTTACTAATCATGTGGAGACTATTCACGAAAAAAAAAATTGAATTAAAGTGTACTGTGGATACGATTGAAGCTTAATTGAAGATTTTGAAAGAGCCTACATATCTATATTTAATACTTTGATCAAATTTTTTTCCCTTTGTTAATATATAAGATATTTTTATCATTTAGGTTTAATTTAGAACTAGTGTTTGGGTTTGGGTAATGCCTCAATCATTACATAGGCCATAGGGTTAACCATAAGACTTGGATTTAAAAACTCTATGTGCAACCCGTACATCAAATAAAATTTAACCATCAACTATATATATTTGATAGCATGTACTTGTTAGCAACAAACCGATAATACTTTTGTGTAGAAAATAATGGCTCAAAATGTGAATTTTATAGATGCACTGATATGTGCATAGAGTGACACTCACTGCACACATATGCTAAGACATAGGTATAAAGATGGTGTGGTTTTTTTTTTTTTTTTTTAAGGGTAAGATTTTCAAAAAAGAAAAGCACTATAACATCCTAATGTTTAGAGGAAAGAAGGTGGTGCATTGTGTTATGGCAATTTGTTTATTGTTGATAAGTTTAAATTTAGTTGACACATCATACCCTTACCAAAATATGATATATGAAGTATCAAACTCCTTTGAACAATATACTCAAAGTAATGTCACTTTGTTGCTTAAGCTTTACAAAAGTCAGAAATATCCAACATATTTTTTTAAGAATAACCCAACATAATTCTTGAAAATAGGATTTTGTGTTATTTCATTTAAGATTGCACGAGATAATTCTAATTTTAGCTAAATTTTGACGTGTTAAATCTAAACATGATAAATATTATTTGCGTTCAAATTTTAGCCGAGTTATTGTTCAAATTATGCATGATAATAAGAATTTTTTGAAGTAAACATTGTTGGATCTAGTTTACTTTTGAATGGAGGTGAAGCTAAGTGTAGTTATTATAAATAATTTTATATTACGAGTAACTTATTTTGTACCTCTTCCATTTTTATTTATACTATGCATTTTTTCTACCATTCCTTCCCCAATCTCAAGATCTCTTAGGAAGTCAAATATCCCTAAAAGTGAACGATAATGACTCATTTTATCCTTCTAGTAGCCACCTTCATCATCCTCTTCTCCCCTCCATCTACCACCGCCGTAAAAACAACTCCGATCCTCGACATCAATGGCCGCCCTCTCGAAACGGGTTCCAACTACTATATCCTCCCAGTGATCCGAGGCCGAGGCGGAGGCCTAACAATATCTCCTAAAAACGCTACAGAATCATGCCCACTCTACGTAGCCCAAGAAAACCACGAAGTCTCTAATGGCCTACCCCTTAAGCTCTACACGACTAATCCAAATGAAAAAAGAATCCCTCTAGGCTCCGACGTAAACATCGTATTCGATGCCGCCTCCAGCTGCGTACAATCCACGGGATGGACCCTAGCCTTCGACGAGGCCACTGGAAAGCAACATGTGGGAACCGGAGGAACCATTGGAAACCCGGGCGTCGACACGTTGAGTAACTGGTTCCGGATTTTAAAGGGTGGGAATGGAAAGTACGATTATAAGATTTCGTATTGTCCCGGTGTTTGTATTTTTTGTACGGTGATGTGCGGGGATGTAGGTGTTTTTATCGGCGAGGATGGTACTAGGTTTTTGGGTCTTACGGATGATCGTCCTCTATTGGTTAGGTTCAAGAAAGCTTAAAGATTTCGACGTGTTAGGTACATGTGTGAGTATGTGTTCCGAAATATGAAGTTAAACGAGTACTTTGATTTACGACCAAGTTTTTTTTCTTCTTCTTAAGAAGAACCATTTCTGCTACTTCTAATCTTAAATACTTGTAACTCAAGGTTTAATTATGGTTTGCCTTTATTTGGGTTTTAACCTATTAATTAATTTGTATGCACCCATGAAGGGGTAATGACACTTTGTCATTAAAGGAGTACTTTATTAATTGATTCGTTCAATTTTGTTTTTTTACTTGTTTGGGGTTTGCATAAATCGTGAAATACATTCCTTTATTGGAAAAACAATTTACGTGATAGGCACACGGAATGAAAGTAGTCACGACAATGGTTTGTCATTGTTATAAACATTTTTTACCCACGTTTAGAGGTATCAAAACCCATCCGACCCGGTTCAAAAAATATCCGATTTAGATTTCGACATGTATGGACAGAATAATTTAACAGGACACAACTTTAAAAATTGATCAGACCCAACCCGACTTCATCAAATCAGATCCGTACATCTGGTTATTTTGTGAGCATTAGTATCCAAGTGAAATCAGATTGAACCTTTTATTATTCATCTCCTTATGTTGCATGCACAATAAAAAATGTGGTTATTTTGTGACCAACATTAACGATTGATTAAAAAACGGTCACTATATCTTTATTTACTGATTGTAATTTGATCTATTGTTAAATTTCTGCTTGTTTTCTCACTAATTCGCTCCCTAAAATTCCTCATAATTTACACGTTCCCGTTCTAAGTTTTCAAGTGAAATCAGATTGAACCACATCAATTTCATCCAATTTGTTTATTAGTGACTGAAAAGTACCCCTGTTGGAATAAGAAGCAAAAGAGAACATAAGTAAACGTTGATAATAATAGTGCTTCTTCTCATTCAATCATGAAATACATATATGCTTCTTTATATCGGCTCTACAGTACAAGGTTAAAGTTAGATCATGCTAGCACTTAGTGAATAGACGTTAATAAATTTTATTTACATTCTTGTAAGGCTAATTTTAATTAATTTTATGTGTTTCTATTAAATTCCAATTGTTTGTCAGTGAATCAAAATAAAGGTTTCCCTTCTACCCCAAGTATCAATATTCGTTGCCATTCAAACCATCAACGTCATCACTTAGATCATTCAAAAGGAATATATATAGCGAGCATTTTATGCGGATACGCGTATATTTATGTGCGTGCTTCGGTCCACCCTAAGCTTGCGATCGACTTTATCTTATTTGATTAAAAAACTATATGTAGATATTTAGACGTAGACATAAAGATTTTATCTTAAGAATAGTCAATCATGATTTTTTTTTTTTTTTTTTGTTTGTTTGAGAGAGAGAATATTCAATGATGATTAATGTAACAGATGATAATCCCCTTATATTCCGTACATGAGAAAATTCAACGCCCTTCCCAAATCATTACGCTACTTAAAAAAAGTACTTTTTTTTTTGACTGGAAAAAAGTACTTGTTTCTAATCAAGCAACTTACTTAATCAAGAAATAACAACGATTGTCCAAGAAAAAAAAAAGGTATACACGATGGCTAAAGTTGCAAGCTAATCTTATGCTCAAAACTTGTATTATATTAGGAAAAAAAAAAGATATTAGGAAGAGAGGAGCACTTGAAATCCATATACTTCGTAAGGAATTGCAAGTTATTCCAACAATTACGAAGTAGTTCCTATGATTCTTTTTACTGACAACATTTTTCATTTTACGTTTGTCAAAGTATATATAATTGAATTATATATATATCTCTAATTATTATTAAGTAAAATAAAAATTCTATACTATGAAAATATAAAATAAGACAAATTAGACAAATTAGATCCCACATGACCATATTTTTGCTTAACCATAAATCACTAAAGTCGATCAAAGAAAAATATATAAATAGGGTAAAAGTCAACATGTTGCAAGTAAAAAGAAACGGAGAAAATACATACTTAGCTAACTTCCAGATTTATTACAAAGAAAGTTAGAGCGGAGCCTACCGAACTAGGAGGAAGCGTGTAAGGAGCCAGTTTTCAGACTTTCTTGCCACATTGACATAAGAACCAATTCAATTAGAATAACTGTACAATAAGTAGGACAATCATATATACTAAATATTTTCAAATTAAAGATTATAACAATCACTACTAGATGAAAATTTTCAATTTGTGCAAGCTAAATAGATACCTAACAAGCTCTTGAAAATTGCAAACAGGTTGCGTGCGTTGTTTTAATCAATAGTCAAGTAAGCATAGGTACAATGTCAAACAATGAGACATGTTTTGAACACTTTATTATATGAGCAGGCAAATCTATATAATAATTTAATTCAATATACATATAATGACATTAGCGCATTAATTCAATCACTTAGTTTTACATAGCTTGACTTTAAATTTCAAAATCAAACTTAAGAAAATTCCCATCAAAATAAATACTCTGTAATAAGTAAATAGATAATATGTGCGCAAGATAATATGATCCAACTTAGATGACAATGACATATACGAGTAATCTGTTATCATTTACCACATTAGCCACCCTCCCTTAGCCACCATAAACCATCCCTAACCAGTAACCACCACTATTACAGTAGTTTACCGATTACCTTAGATTATTTTGGATACCCCAATCCTTAGCCATATGACTATTGAACTGAACCGTCAAATTTAGTACGGGAAGGGACGTTATGAGCTAGTCACATAGCTGATAAAACAGTAAAATTGCCACTATTAGAATAAGGCCTTGTTTAGTTAAACTTATTTTTACTTATTTCAGAAAAAATAAGTTCAGGTTAGAAAAAATAAGTTCAAATCAGATCAGATTAGAAAAAATAAGTTCAGATCATGAAAAAAATTATGAAGATTACTTATTAATAAAATGCACATTATTACGAATCTAACAAGACCACACTTGATATATTTTTTCCTCATAGATTATCGTACACTTAAGGTCAAAATTTGGTCAAATCTAACAACCAGATCAGATAAGAAAAAATAAGGTGAACTAAACAAGCCCTAATTCCACTATGGCTCATCTTGTATAACAGAAAGGGGGCAGCAATTAACTTTAATTAAATGGACAATATTTGTAGGAACAATATGAGACATGACCAAAATGTTATTTTCTTTATACTCCCATCGTTCTTGAAAGTTCAACTCACTTTGTATTTGCGCAGTTTTTAATGTGCGTCTTTAACCATTAATATCTTTGGATATGTAAAAGTGAAAATTATAAAAAGTTGATTTTTGAAAATTTTAAACTTAGACGAAACTAATAAAATCCCACATGATAATTTAATTCTTTAGTGTAAATCATAAAAGTTGGTCAAAATTATTTTATTTTGACCACACGAATATATATATATTACTAGTAAGAATTTATATCTCATTTTATTTTGAGGTTGTGGACCAACCCTCATTATTATGAGCATTTCAAGGGTGATTTTCGTTACCTTTTCACCTTATTCATAGTGGGCGTTACCTATTAACTTTGACCGAGTTGACCTATGATAATTGGTTGCATTAATTGCCTATTACACATGCATTGCATGAACTATGATCTACTTTATAAATTGCCACTCTTCTTCTTTACTCTCAACTCACATACACCCTCTAAACTTGTCATACTAGCTAGCCTCACTTGCTTTCTCTAATATGTCCAACTTAATCCTCTTGTTAGCCACCATCCTCACCATGCTTAATCTCTCTCCTTTCACCACCACTGCCGCCAACATAACCGTCCTCGACATCGATGGGTACCCTCTTCAAGCCAACACTACTAACTACTACATCCTCCCAGTGAACCGAGGCCCACATTATGGTGGCCTAGTTTTGACGAGTAAACTCGTTTTTCAACCATGCCCCCTCTTCATAGCTCTAGACAAAGGGCAAATTCCGGATGGCTTTCCTTATAAATTCTACTCCGTTAATCATAAAGACAGTCTAATCTTTCTCTCCACTGACCTCAACCTCGAGCTCGAAGTTCTTAACTTCTGCATGCAAACAAATATATGGCAGTTATACAATGATGCTGGGACCAGGAAAGTATTAGTAAATATACACGGAACACTCGGAAACCCCGGTGCTGAGACGCTTGATAGTTGGTTTAAGATCGAAAAGGCTGGAAAAGGAGAGTATGATTACAAGTTCGTGTATTGTCCTAGTGTTGTAAGTCTTGTAAGCCAGTTTGTGGTGATTTGGGTGTTTTCGTTCGGGTAGATGGGACGAGAGTGTTGTTTTTAACTGATCATGATCCTCTTTTGGTTAACTTCAAGAAAGCTAATATTACAAATTAGTTGTATTCGAAGTTTACAAATAATGGAAAATAAATTTAATTAATCAATTGTCTTAGACATTAATTAGAGTATCATGAGTTACTATGAAAATTAATTTGGATGTAATTTGAAAAAATATGATATGATTAATTTAATCATGAAATAATAATGTTATATGAATGATAAAATTTCCTTTGAAATACACCTTTTAATTTAATCATCATGAATAATAATGTTATATGAAAGAGATTTGGGGGCAACTAAAAGGGTTTAGGGGGAAAGGGGAGGGAAACGTGGGAAAAAACCAAAAAAAAAAAAAAAAAAAAAATTGAGGTTAAAGGAGTGATCGCTTGCCACGCACGTGGTGGTCAACGCAGGACTATTGTGGTCATCTGTCGTTTTGCGGTGTAAAGGTCCCAAGGCACAACAAAAATGTTTTAAAAGGTCCTTCTACTCCACTTTAAATTTAGGGTTTTTCTAAGCTATGCCCTTAAGGTAGTCGAGTTTTTAAGGTGTACCCATGCTTTTTCAAATTTTTAAGTTATGCCCCTCAACTCACTACCATTAATGAATGGTACCCTCCTTGGGACTTCCACGTCACCTAAAGTTAACTACAAGTTTAATAAAAAGATGATAAAAGGTAAGGAAATGATAGGAGAAAGAAATCTTAGCCACCGCAACCCTAATAACGAAAATTGAAGCCACGAAATCACACTCTCAATTAACTTTTAAACAACTAATAAGGGTACATTTTAGTATTGATAGGTAGTTGAAGGGCACGGCTTAGAAACTTGAAAAAGCATGGGTACACCTTAGAAACTCGACTACCTTAGAGGTATAGCTTAGAAAAACCCTTAAATTTAATAGGTCCTTTCTAGTAAACAAGTGCATGTGCATTCAAAAGATTCTTTGTAACAAATTTTTCTGAACAAAACTTATTAGGTACCCATTAATTGCAAATTAGTTGTTCTATTCGTTATTGGTTTACTTTGACCATACTTTATGTACTATT